CTGTCGTGGCGTATATATATACAACCTTTACTTCCTTTCCTACTATTGTCCCAAAATTAAGGCGTTTACACGCAATTTCATCAATCTAAATGAGACCTATTTTCATAACAGAATGCTCAAGCTTTCGACTAAAGCGCGTCCCCTGCTTTAATCACATGTTCTATCTGTACAAACACTACAGGAGTTGGAAAGTTTGAGCGTATACTATCCACTATCAAACTCTTGCGTTTGTTGTGTTCACTGATATGATTGGATGAATGTGGCGATGCAGGTGAGTTGGTTTATTATTAGAACCGGTAGCGGGTAGAATTACTCAGATTAATCATATGTGACTGGTCTGAGGAAGTTTGGAATACCTTTTGGAGCAGATAAAATACCATTTTGGAGCAGCTCAAATACCATTCTGGAGCAGCAAAAAATAAATACACACTTCGTTTTCATTCCCACCATTGCGAATATTATACATTAAGATTCATGTGTTCACCTGTTAATCAGGCGAATTATGTCTATTTCGGTTTCTCACTTCTGTGCGACCTTTTGTCAGCATCAATTGCATGGTAGGCTTAATTTCATCGAACGCCTCAAGAACAGAACTAGCTATTGTTAACTTCTGTGTAGAATGTAAAATCACCAGGCACAACAGGAATTTACTAAGTGATAAAGAACAGTATGAACTGCTGTGAATTATAATTTTAGGTACGGAACCAAAGGTAAACCAAATTATAGTTCGTCAAAATAATGTTAGAACAAAATAGTATTGAGCAACCTAAGGGATATTTAATTAAATTGCTAAAGTTCATAATAAAGATGCAATCATTAACTCAGATAGAAGAGAAGATTTTGTCATTTTAATATTAACAACAATGATCTTTTATATGTTAAACTTTATGATAACAAAAATTGGAATGTGAATGATAAATTAACACTAGAAACAGTTCCGTGGAACTCATTAATGTTAATCCCAAGTTTACATCCTCTGCTACAGTAAATTTAGTTTTAATGTATTTTGTTCAGTGTGCCATCGCACATATGAAAGCTATGCAAAGGTGATAACGAAACGAAAAAAAAACGTCAAAATATAATCTTATAGAGCCGTTCATCTATAAGATTATATTTTGTAACAACTATAAGAGTTGTATTATTGAGAACTCTTTACTTCAAGGTGGAGTTGTTACATCAGCACGTACCAAGTTTCTTTTTGTTTTGTTTTATCGCCGTTTTTTGGAGGAGTGCTTTCCCCTTAGCACACGGCCGCAATGCGGTGAAGCAAGATCCGCAAAATCGCGATGCCTAGTTTGCGGTTCTCGCTTCACCGCAGTGCAACTGTGCACGGTCGGAAGCGCACTCAACGGTGCTACTCATCCCACCAGAACAGACCACGACCATGAGAAATATTGCACGGCCTCCGAGTGCTATCAGTGTTCGATACAGATGTCAAATAAAGTAGTACGTTATTTAAGACGATCCTCAAAATACTCAAAACACGGACAAGCCTAACGTAACGACGCGGCCGTGTAGCGGGGCCGGGTTTATACGGGCTTTTTCAGAGCTCATCCTAAAGGCGCGTTCACACTCTTGCAACCGAGTACGACCGAGAAAGACTTCTTGGGACCGGATGCGCTGAGCGGAGCTGGTCCTAAGAGATCGCAAGAGGCTTAAAAACCGGTTTGGTCTCTCTCGGTCGCACTCGGTTGCAAGAGTGTGAACGGGCCTTAACATCGATGCCACACATTTCTGAACTGCACGACCGTACGTTTGGCCGGTCAAAACGAACGAAAGTAGTGTTGGTAAACCTTTTTCTGCCGCAGAGGAAACGCTGATACTGCTATATATAAACGTATACTATAATAAATGAGATCGATAGCAGATGGCCCTAAAGATTTAGGAAACTAGTTCTAGAGCTACAAAATAACCTCTACTCTTCCAAATGAGGAATTGGTTCAATTTGCGCGATTATCCCCAAAACAAAATGAACCCAAGTATATTCGCAGCTTTCATCTCACATATATGGGGCGTGCTGGCTCTTATTAAAATGGCGGATGTCTAAATGATTAACGTGGAAGAGATGTGGTTTGAATTTAGATGCTTAAGTAATTTTAATATTTTCAGGTATGAGTGAACATCCAAGCTTAATAAACCATATGCTTTCATGTTTCGAAGAGGTATCAAGCACCTCTATTGTGATGTACAGATGAACAGTATTTTAAATACAAGTATTTGAAAGGCGTATTTTAAGAACCTTGAGTATTTTGTATTCCATATAAATATACATATCGTGGAATGTATTCGTGAATCTTCTTCATATTTAAAGTATGAGCGTTTTAAATATCTGTGTATAAAAGGATGTCCAAATGCAATTTTGGGTACTGTTCTTCGCAATCAAATGCGACGTTCGGACACTCTTCGCGATGGGAGTGACATGCAAGTGCATGAAACTTGCTACGCATTGCTCGTAAGAACCATGGAAAGAAAAAAGGCAGAGTAGAACAAGGAATGACAGAGATGAATAAAATTACATACTTTTTGGCTGACTGATATATTTGCAGACGTCGCATAAGCGATATGTTGCTCGAAAAGACTTTATTGCTTCAACTGTGCCTTTGAGTACAGAATCATACTAAATAATTGCTTTTCATGACGTTATAACCTTATATCTTATGACAAAGACGTTTTATTTCTAGATTTGCAACTTTCTTTTTTAAGCGCTCTATTAGTGGGGTATACACAACAACACCACTCTTTTTTCAAGAATGACTTTTTTTTTTACTTGGGGAGAAATGAAAGTCCAAAATGACAAACTTTAGAAAACAAAATAGAGTTGTAAACAAATTTAAAGTTGATCAAATACTCCCGGTTTATTTGTATCTTGTAGGGATGGCAGTATTTCAAATACAAGTATTTTAAATACTTGTCTGAAATATTTCGAACATTTTGTATTGCGTATTCCATTAAATATTCAAGAATGTGTTTGTCGACTGTATGATACAAGGAAAAAAGTATTTCAAATACTGCCAAAATTAATTTCTGTGTGCTATTCTTCGCAATCAAATACGATTTCGGGCACTCTTCTTTGCGATCAGAACGTTAGCAAAAACCGTACAACTTGGTGAGTTTTTTGCACAGTAAACGACGAAGAAAATACGAGAGAAGAGAACAAGTCATGAACGGGATAGGTAGAATTAAGGAGTTCTTGGTTGGCTGCTTTTATTTCTTAAAAACGTCCCGTTGCCGGCATGTAGTTTAAAAGAACTTTGTCGCTTTAATTAAACCACTGAAATTAAACTTGTATTTAATACATTGTCTTTTCCAGTGTTGCACCTCTTTCTGATGTGCCATATAATCTTTTTATAACTTTAAAGTTGCAACATTCATTTTATTAACTACATTCTTGGTCCATTAGGACTCAACTCTTTCTTGGGGCATGTCCATGTCCTGTAGGAACGAAAGGTATTTGGGAAAATATTTGAGGACGGTCAATACCCTCCGTTGTATTTGTATCTATACCTTGTCTCATCCTACGATGGACTAAAGGCCAAAGCCACGGGCCGCCAGGTCCAATCACGTTCCACGCTATACTATGACACGCTTAACACTGATTAGGGGTGGACGAATAATGCTCGAATCCAAAAGCGCCGCATCATTTCTATAGCTGCGACGCTGCAAGGAGACTATATGTTGTGCTTTTTTTGCGATGTAAAATTGTTGAGTCACTCGGTGCTCTTAATTCGATTCCAAGCACTGTCCACCCGCCCCTCTGAAGTCCCTCGATACTGCTTTTACAAGTAACGACAACCAATACAAATGACAAAGCACATTCCGCCGGAAGAAAATGGCGTCATCCAGTTCAAACCTCCGCTGTGCGCCGCCATTCGCTTCCTAAAACCTACACCGTCACGCAGTCGGCGCTTCAAAGAATATCGCTACTTCTAGGAAGCTCTTATCTAGGGACTTTAGTCCCCTCATCAGTGATTCGAGACGCGGGCACCGATACGATTTTTGAAGCGAAATACGGCACAATTTCTAGGTAGATCGTGATTGGATCTGGCGGTTCGTAGCTTTGACCTTTAGTCCATCGGAGGGTGAGACGAAGTAGAGTCGTTTTATGAAACGGGTAACTGCATACATAATTCAATACATTTTTGTCGAAATATCTTGTATTTGTATTTTGACGCAATTTCTCAAATGTTTTGGCCGTCCCTGACCTCGCATGTACCTTTCTAAAAGGTGTAAGTGGATTTGCAATGCAATACAATTTGTCTAAGTATTTTGCATTTATCTTTCCATAATTTTTTAGAAGTATTTGGCTCGTCCCGGCATCTAGGCACCACCAATGTAGAAATTCGTGAATTTCGTTTGAGATGCCGTTTATTTAAGATAGTCGGTGATTGTATAAAAATTCGGTACAAGCTCCACCTCCAGCGTGCACCCAATGGCTTCCACGAAGCTTTGGCTGCGCGGCAACCAAGTTGTATCAGTGTCAGAAAGGACGCGCTGGAGGCAGAAGATTTACTGAATTCTTGACCTGTCACCGACCATATTGTGAAATAAACACGAAGCTCCCATCTTCTTCGTGATTATGAAGAAAACATTTATGAAGAACCGGAAAATGGCTTTTCGTGTGTATCTCAGTTTTAATTTTTTTTTTTTTCAGTAGTCATGGACTGGATGAGAAGAGCAGGATATATTTTTGTTTTCTTGCCAGCGGAAAAAATGAAAGACAACACTGGGTGACTAGTGGTCCTGCAAGAAGGCTTCAAGCGCTCTATGGTGAAGCATCCGAAAGGAGTCACCTTGCCGTACACGACCAAAAGGCGGTCGTGCACGGCAAATGAGTCATTGCCATCGCCTGCGCTCTTTTGACACGTGGCGTGGAGCGTACGCCGAAAGTGTTGGTCGCCTGGAAATTGTTTGCTGTATGCAGCCACCTGGGCCGGCAGTATGGGTGGCCCCGGGCTCCTTTTCGACGGGGAAAGATAAAAGGAAGGGGAAAAAACACTCACCCGGATTGTTGACCCACTCCTGGAGCGCCTTCTGCAACCTTCTAACGTGAAGAGGCTTGCTGGCCATGCCCACGAGGGCCATGATCTCAAGAAACTCTTCTTCTCCCGCCTCGCACAACTGCTGCACGTCATCGCCTCCTGAGAAGAGGACAAGCGAGACGCGCGTCAAGCCATGAACTCGGACAGGAGCCGTTGCAGTCACGGCTTGATTACTTTTCCCAAAGGGAAACCGACTGTAGAGGTTATTCTCTGGGTTACAAACTACCTTCAGGCTACCTTGCCAGAATAGTGATAACGAATATATTGGCACAACAATAATTTTATAAATTAATTTTTATTTGGCTACCAATATTTTTTTTTCGATATGAGCACAAATATAGTTACTGAAGACCAAATGTTTATGTCAAATAATGTGCACAAAACTGATATACTCTGAAGAACTCTCGCCGCAGGTTTGTACGAAACAAATATAGTTAATATGAGCTCGCAATGAAGTGAAATTTGGTTAGTAAAGACGGCTTAGGAGATTATGTAGACGTGAAAGGCTTTTAAGGCCAATCGTAGTGTGACACGGGTCACGACCTTGTTCAGCCCTTTTACGCTGCCCCCTTGTCTCGGATAGAATTATGTATGTATGTATGTATATATATATATACATATATATATATATATAAATGCTTACCACATTTTAAGGTTTGTTAAGAATAAAATGACATTCATCAATTTTGAGGGCTCGTTATTTTAGCTAAGAAAGATGGGCATTTCGTTCCGCGTTCTCCGGCTCGTATTGAAACAAAAACAGATGAAAAACGCAGCTAGAACAGGATATGCCCACCAGGCCACGCAAAAGTACGTTTTTACTTTGTTGATGTAGTTCTAGAGGACTACATTTATAACACGATCACAAAACAGTGGTCAGCACCAAATGCTCGGTTAATGAAGGTTGGATTTGATAAAACGAGTATGGGGCGAGAAACTATAGGCAAGTTTGGACAGATCCAAGGTCCTATTTTTGTGCTCGGCGCACAAACGCTGTTATGCTGCCGCGCGAAGGGTAAGCGCCACCTGAGTCCGGCCTCATCACTGATAGCGCGAGAGAAACATACCAACCTATTCCAACCATAATTAATGTCGCAAGAATTTGCTCTCTTTTCCTTCATCGCCCCACCCTCTCCTTTTCTATTCAGAGCACTCACCGAAGCCAAGAAAGGGCTGTGGCTACGGCTTGGGAAGGTGCTTCGCCCGCGCGGGTGCTTGCGCAAAACAAATGTACCGCGATATTACACAGCCGCGCCTTTGCCTTTGCGCAGACGCGAGGTGACTTCTATTGAATTTAAAGAAAGATGGCGAGTAACTAAAAGCCAATTCACCGGAACCACTTTTCGCTCGCCACTCGCGTTCCGAAATAAAACGAGGGATACATCACTGACTGTGAAAGCTGACTGGGGATGCAAGAGCCAAGTGACAGCACCCAAGCCCTCAGCCTTTAGTTGCCGAAGGAGATGACCCGAGCCCTCGTCGGCATTATCTACAACATGTATGTGTCGTGAGGAGGGAAAGACGCAAACGCCTTTGTCAACCACCGGCGAACGCGGCAGCCAAGGAGCAGTCGCGACTGCGAGCAGAGTGCGCGGAATGCTGGGCCAGAGGGAGTCCACTATGTTCCGCTTCACCATCAATCAGTAAGAAGAGAACGCTCGAGGCACTCGGAGTGAAAAGTGCAGAAAGTGTGGCAGGTTTGTGCGGAAGCAGCGTTAACACTACCTAAACAGTCGCAGCCCGCGAACTACCTCCTCTATATCTCCACGCGACGTCGTCGCACTCGCATGGCGCCTCCTCGGCAATCGAGCCGCCCGAGCCCGGTGCCGATCGTCCTGCGACCCAGTAGCTGGACACGATGTCCAGCCAAACGTTAACGCGGCATTCGTGTACGATTCGTGCTTGGTCTTACTGCTATTACGTCAAAATTCTACTTGACGTGCTTTGATTACTCTATTAGCGACGTGCGCAATACCAAAAGCGTTGCTGCGGTCCGCATTCGCGTTTTTGCCGAACCGTAGCTTCCTGTATACTGATGATGCCTGGCCAATCGCCGGTTCACGGCGAGGCAAATACTGCCAATCACGACGAGGCAAATACTGGTCGGGACGTTACCAACTAAAACCGTAAAAGGGCGCCACTGAACGCTAATGCGGTGGAGAAGTTCGCCTGCTCCTTTTGCGAGGGTTTGTGGTGACGTCAGAACACCAGGCTCTGATTGGTTCTAATTTATTGATAGTGGGTAGACCTCAAGGCAGCTTGCTTCGAGGTCTGCCCACTATCCTTCCATCACAGCCGATCAGAACTCGGCGTTCTGACGTGACCCCAACCCCTGCAAAAAGAAGCAGACGGACTTGCGCTCCGCATAGTCCCCGAAACCACGAGAAACGAAGAGCGTGGCACGAAGCGTCCGAATATCCCTCCACAGCCAATGAGGTTGCGGGCCAATAAGAACGCTTCATATGAAACTATGAAAGAAGAGGCGCAAAACCGCGCTCTGCTTTCCTTAAGTCGCCGGTGGCTGCTGGTCTACCGCACAATACGTCGTCCGGGGCCCCCAACACTACAATTGGCTCGCTGGAGGCCGTCGCTTTCACTCTTTGCGAGTTTCTCCTGCTAGCGAAGAGAGGACCAGCGACCGGTCACGACTACATATATGCAGCACGCACAGCGCTGCCCGTTGGCGCGACGTAGGCTGGCCGTAATCCGCACCGGCGGCGGCGGCTGGCTCGCCAGCGGAGGAGCGTCTCCGAATGCGGGGACACGTCGGGCAGACCGGGGGAGGATAAACGAGACAAATTACGGCTCCTGTTTATGCGCGGCCAACGGGCGGGGGGACGACGAGTCGGTCTTTCTTCTTCTTCGGGCGCACGAGCACGATCGCGCGCCGAGGACCATTTGTCAACGCGGGACGCGCCGGGACGGGAGCGCCGCCGTCATCGCTCAAGAAGCCGTCAGCGTGAGGCGAGATCGGAAAGCGATCCTTCTATCGCTGTAGCCTTTCGCGCTTTCAATTAGGCCGGAATCCATCGTTAGTAGGACTGCGCGCCACGTTCTCCACCGCCGCCGGCAGACAGCGGCGGCGACGGGCGCTGTTCCGCACCAGTCGGTCTCGCCCCAACTCCGGGTAGGCAACAAAAAAGCAACAGCGAGCTTGTTTCGCACTTAGCCTCGGAATTAGAAAATAATGTTTGCTGATTTTCGTCTTTTTTGTTTCTTTCTTTTGTTAGGACTCGTTCGCGACATCTATAGAGCAACAGCATCCCCCAAACAGCACGTTTGTTGGAGACCGGCGGGTAAAAATGATATCACTATCAGATTAGGCTGGTGCCCAGGGTGATACTGGAAGTATAGACGAAGTTGGCGATCATCTCCTCGACTTGATGTGGGATCTCGCTCGGACGGTTGAGCTGCCCGTTCTCCCGGTGAAGCCAAAGATAGCGACTCGGTGGTGTCATTAGTCGGTCGCGGAAGCTGCGGAAAAATTATGCCTCCCTGTCACTTCAACCTCTCCACAGCCCAAAAGGGATGGCCGCGGGAGCTGCTCGAGCGGAAGGAGCTTTCTCGGGCACAGCGCGCAACTTTGTGCTTCCTAGTTCTAGTGAAAGCGTTGTTCGTTATGTCGCGCTTACATTGAGCCTTCTCGATCTAAACATGGCACATTTGTAAAAGAAAAAGTTTTCGCATTGCACGTTACTAGTTTAAGCGCTCCTCCTTTCACCCAAATTAAAAACGAATCTTTTGTTGTGTGAGCTTGAAATAACTGCCGATTGTGCGTTACTTTAGACACTTTTCTGCGCAGACTTATTGCTTTAGTCACCAGACAAATAACTTTCAAAAGTGGAGGTTAAAAGAAAAATCCGCAACTGATTTCCGCAACTGAAGCTTATGTATAAATACTGGTTGGATGAATAATAACTGGCAATCGCAAAAAAAGCGGCCTTTCTTGGCATCCTATACCCACCATTTGGTTTGATAGATGGCGCCATCTTATGGAGAATTTTTGCACCTCTGAGGCGGCCCGCGTGGCCGCAATCAATGTATCCGATCTTGAGTTCGACTGTGCGCGAGCTCTTTTCCTAACTGTGACGCAGTGCTCGTGTCCAATTGCTCGCGGACCGGGCCGTCCCAAAGTTGCCTCTTCTGGCCACCAGCTGCGCGGATTAGCTGTCGATAAAGCTGTCACCTACTGACTGCCCTAGATCAATTTGGGCTCTTCTGTCGTTCTCCAGCTCACTTGTGGCACTATAAAACGTATTAACCACGATGGAGTGGGAAGGCGCGAGGTATTCCTCGCTCAATCATTTCTGACCCTCCTATAATGGGATGGCGACATTCCGAGTGCGAACGATAGAGCCAAGCGATGGTCTGCTGCTGAAGCTACAGGAGTGAGTAAATTGAAAGAGACAAATGCTGAGCTCAGTTCAGCTTACATCCCTGCAACCCTTCTCCAGGCATACGTACACTCGACTAACTTTATAATTATGTTCACCGAATATATTAAGCAAAACAACAATGAAAACCGCATCGCTGGCCAATGTTGGGTCTAGCAAGTTGTTCTCTGCAATTTATCTTTAGTTCTTCATATCGAACCCACATTCTCCCTTTTTTTCGCGGAGTACCAAATAAGCACTAATGCAAGGGGATCTCTTCGCGTTTATAAAGTAACAACCGCCACGCCACTTCTTTGTGATCTGATGGACGCTGCAATCTGCTCGGGAGAAAGCATTCTTAGGGTTTCGGTGGCACATGATTCTCTAAAGTCGGCATTATTTGAGCGGTTCCAAGTGTGGCTTACCCGAATGAAGCTAGCTGTTTCACTCGCCCATGAACTTTAGAGAATCGAGATATGTCAGTTTAAGAAAAGTAGCTCCTGTGCTGTCTTGTGGAATCGCACCGATTATATATATTTAACGGTGCATCTCCTAGTTCACTGCCCATCGAAAAATTTATTAGTGAATCACGCGGATTTGAAGCACAGAAAATAAGTGCATAGTTGCATGCACTTGGTGCGCACCAGATCATTTATGTTTGATTTCTTCATTACCTCTCGTATTCGAGCAGAAGTTATTCGCTTCGGCGTAACCGGCACTGCATGA